GTTTCCAAACTCCTTCCTTCCTTTGTAATATCACTGACAGATGTTCTATTCTTAATTCAGTATATTTTCAGAGATCCTTAATTAAGTTATTTCTTTGTTTAACGCTCTTTCAACTTCTATTTTGGATCACAGATTATCTCTGAATGACAGGGATATCAAAGACCGGAGGCACGTGAGGACTGGGCTATTTTAGGCCATATGAAGACGGAAATAATTTTCTTTGATATAAAAAATCTCTGGGAAAAAAATGCTACAACTCAGATAAACAACATCCAAAATTATCGAATTAATCAAATTTCTCTAATGTAACTCTAACATAAATAACATCCAAAATTATCAAATTCATAAAATCTATTAAATAAACAGCATATTAATACCTTTGTAAATCTTTAAATGTACCCAATCTATCAAACACGTATCTCGTACAAACAGTGCCCAATAATGTATCCAAACCAATCAACTCTATTCAAAACATAGAAACAGCTTTCCTCATTATTAAAAAAAAAGAAAAAAAATCACTCTAGACTACGTGAGGTTATTTTATTCATGGAATTGTCAAGTTGTCTCTCTCTCTCGTGGGCGAGCCTCGTCTTAATGAATACTTCACGTGAAAGCCATTCGTAGTTTCTCGGTTGGATGACAGGCAATCTCCTCAAGGGAAAATGATGAAGGGAAACTCTACGTGAAAACCTTTCCTTTAAAATTGATCTTTACATTATTTAAGGGGTTGGTTGCCAGTTCGTTTTAAGGCTTTAGGTTTTATGATTAGTAGTAGTAAAGTGGAGAAAAATAAATGATGATTGTAATGAGAGGTTATAATGATAATAGTAATAATAGCAGTGGTCGTAGTAGTAATATTAGTAGTAATAGTAGTTGTTGTAGTAGTAATAATAATAATAATGATAATAGTTAAAATAATAATGATAATAATTATAATAATCACAATGATATTAATATACAAAGATGATGATAATAATAATAATAATAGTAGTAATAATGATAATGATAATATCATTAATATTAATAGTAATAATAATAATAATTACTATTATTATTATTATAATGATAATGATAATAGTAACAATAATGATAATAATAATGAGAATGAGAATAATGATAATGATAGTGATGATGATAACGAAGATGATGGTGATGATGATGATGATAATAAAAATAATGATAATAATAATAATAATAATAATGATAATAATAATAACAATAATGATAATTATAATACTGATAATAACATCAACAACAACAACAATAAGATAATAATGATAACATTGGTAGTGTTAATAAGGACGAAGAATTCATTAACCCTGACCATAAACACGCATACAGGTTAACTGCAATAATATCTAACAACACACACAAGGTTTAGGAAAAAAAATAGTGCATCGAGTTCTACGGAAAACCTTAAAAATGCACTAATGTTGTTTGTTAATTGATATTCCTGACGAGCTAGCTGGTTTGCAAGGGCCGAACCACCCAGCCACAAATATTTCATAGTCCTTCGCTCTTTTGTATCATAATGCATCGTGTATGTTACGTATCGATATATCATTTTAGCTTGTGTTGAAACTTGTATGATAATCGGTATGTAAAGGAGAAAGATAGAATTGTTTAGGGCTATTCATGTCCCGTAATATTCATAAAAATAGAAACTAGTTAATTTTGCCATCCTTATTATCCTGGTCAGCTTGTTCTTTGTTCATCTGTTTACATAAATAACTGTCGTCTCATCGTTCAAACAAGCTTATTTCTAGATGAACAAAAATACAAAGACGGAAATGTGTAGGGCGTATTACAACATTGATATGAGAGACACCTGCAATAAGAGAAAAAAATACAGGAAATCGTGATAGATTACACAACAGAAAATTACGAACTACCTTTTTGCTTTAACGTTTTATCGTTTAATTTGGAGTTTAGTCACGATTTATCATTTATATTCTAAAGCGGCTCTTTCATTGCGTTTATAAATAGAACAAATGTACATAAACAGATAATGATAGATGAATAGACTGTATAATTCTACGCATGTATGCAGATATTAAAATAACATGGAAATTTTAAAATAATACCCTTTTCTTTGTATTTTCTTAAATATAAACAACATATGATCTAATATTCATGGATGCATGGCGTTAATAAGCTTAGAAGGCGTAATGTCAGAGGAGGTAATCTTGTTTTGAATGTCGTCGACTCCAGTTAATTGCCCTGAAGATAAAGGACAGAGACCGTTGCGCCAAAGATGTTTTGAATCTAATTTTGGCTCCATTTTTCTTTTATAATCTCCTTAGCTCAATATATTATTGTTTAGGGTAGCGCCTACACGTTTACATGGCAAAGATACAAGGATTTCAAAGATAGGCATTGGATTGTTTTTTTTTCGAATTTTCTTGAAATGCTTTATTCGTTTTTGCAGACGCGTAACGTTACTAATACAGCAAATCATCTGCTATACAGTCTTAGTAATCATAATAAAGAGCATACAACAAAGATTAACATTTCGATCAAAACTATTGCTTATATATATATATATATATATATATATATATATATATATATATGTGTGTGTGTGTGTGTGTGTGTGTGTCTGTGTGTGTGTGTGTGTGTGTGTGTGTGTGTGTGTGCGTGTGTGTGCGTGTGTGTGTGTGCGTGTGTGTGTATGTTTATATACACACACACACACACATACATACATATATATGTATATATATATATATATATATATATATATATATATATATATATATATATATAAGACAGATAGATGTTGGATGCCTGCGCTCAACCGTCAGCAAGGGAACATTGTTGAACTTTTATCTCTGCTCTATCTATTCACCTCCGCTCACAGATAGATAAACTACGGGAGGAA